AGTAAAAATAGAAAAATTCTAAATCTCTCAAGTGTGTGTGTAGGGTTACTTAACATTAGTCACTTCAAATATTTACAATTGACTCAAGAAAGAGAAAAAGAAAAATTACAAAGTGACTCAGACATAGTCTACCCAATCTTGAGCTGGCTTCATTTGTCGTCAGATCTTTCGGTCCTAAAACATCAGTAGAGGAAGGCAGTCAAAGTGTTTGCTAACATCAAAATCATAATCTATGAAACCAAGTTTGCAACAATCTCTCCCTTTTTTTAGGACGACAAACACTTTGATGATTATAGCAGTGTAATTCAAGAATTCAGAGTAGAAACAAGTGCAAGTACCAACAAACAAGTACAAACATAATCAACAAGTACAAACATATTACTCACCCTTTTGACATCTCAGAAAGGAGGGAACTAAAAAGAAACTAAAGCAGAAAAAGTACAAAAAGAAGGAAAAACAAACATAAGAAACTACAGGAAATAAAATCTAAGACTAGAAAAATGAGGGTCCCTGATCATCAGACGGAGGTGGTGGTCGTGGTGGTTGCTAAAAGTAACTAGTCAAGGCAGCAAACTATGATCCAAACTAGGTCATGTCCTGGTCGTGCTGCTGCTGCTGGTGAACAGCAAGAGTATTAAAATGGGCTATAATCTTATCGTGCTGATGCTGCTGGTGAGCTACAAAAGTGTCAAATCGGGTCTCCAATTGATCAAATCTCTCTACTAACTGATCAAACTGTGAGTGCTGGCAGAGAGGAGCAAGTTCAGGAACGGGATCGGGAGCCTCCTCCTCCTTAGCCTTCCAAGGTTCCCCATCCCCTGGGTGAAGACGAATACTGTGAAGGATATTGAAAGAGCTGTTCGAGTAAAAGAGAGTTGGGAGGTTGGGAGGAGCAGGATATTGAAGTTGATATTTGGTTTCAAGAATATAAGCTATGAGATGTGCTAGGGCAAGGTTGGGTCTCCTCTTATGTCATGGATCACGGATTGTTGTCAAATGATCAATGTAATGAAAAATCAGGTCAGTAGCATTAAATTCTCTGTCGGCCATAATGTAAAAGGTAGTCAGAGAAAGTATATGAGTGATGTGGACTCGGTCCCTGGCTTTTGGAATAATGGAAGTGCGAAGGACATGTTGGATTGTCCTAGCATCTTTAACCAAAGAGCTAGTTTCTCCAACATGAAAGGGTACGTTGGTCTGGCATAGGAAATGATTTGCAGTGGACCAGTTAAAATCAGGATTTGAGATAATGGTATGCATCTTGTCCCCAGTGGTGGATAACTGCAACAGTTCAGCACAGTCCTGATATATGATCTCGACCGGGCATCAATTCACATAGGAGATCAGGGCTGTGTAAGCAAAGTTTATGCAAAGGTTTGTGAAGAATTCATAAAGAAGATCAGTATTAAAGGGAACGGCGAGAGTAAGAATGAAGCACAGAGAGGTGTGGGTGAAAATGTCTAATACCGGATATGAGAGGTGGACAGGGTTGATGATTCTGGAGATAGTAATCCCACACTCTTTATACCGATGGTAAGTAGCTTCATTTTCTGCCTCTCTGAAATGAGGGTCAATCCTAGCCCTTGAAGAGCTCCCATAAGTTTGTCAGACTCACTTCCCACCAGCCATAGAAAGAAAACAGTAAGCAATAATGATAGAAGAAGAAGCTTAAAATGAAAACTATGGCTCGAAAGGCCTTAATTTAAAGAAATGTCCACATCGTCTTGGATGATCGTAGAATCATCCAAGGCGATATGGTTCAATTATTTTGTATAGGAAGATTGGTCAAAAAAGTGGTCCGATAATCCGGGCCGATCAGATATCGGCTAGGATGATTAAACACAGGCAATCATCCCGAGGAGTCAAGCCGGACGATTGTTGAAAAAGCAGATCATCCGGGCTGATTAGGTGTATCGCCTAGGATGATGCGCAATAATTGATTGTACCGACCAAAATTAAAATGTTTTAAATCTGTGCCACATGTATCATCCAGGATGAATAGTGGATCGGCCGGATGATTGTCCAATAATGGATCATCCGGGGCTAATTTTAAGGATTTTAAACGTACTGACATGTGGATCGTCTAGGACGATCTAGTGTATCGGCCAGGATGATGACATAAATTCATCGGCAAGGATAAAAATTGTATCGGCCAAGATGATCAAAATGATTTTAACAGAGTTTGATCATATCAGTCAGGATGATAAGGGATCGTCCAGGACGATGCGTTACAGAAAGCTCAGAAAAGTTCAGCAGATGGAATTTTGAAGAGAAATTATCTTATCATCTAGGACGATAGAGGTATCGGCCCGGACAATGTGACAAGAATTTGGAAACCAAGGAAAAGATGGAGATGATCAGAGAAAGCCCCAAACAAATAAATTAAAAAAATCTAAAAATATTAATGAAAAACTAAAAATAAATAAAGAAAAAAAAATTCCTAATTTTTTTATACATATTATTTTTTATTTTAGCAAAGCATCCATATGAAAAATTTCCTACAACATTAAATTTTAGATATTCAAAATATCAATGAGTTAACAATGTCATAATCTGAAAACGGTAGAATATCCGATCCTGTTAATCCTTAGCTCGAACTTCTTTCAGGGTAAAAATTGTCTTTTGAAAACAAAATGCTTAACTCATATCAAACTAATTGGGTAAAGAGATCTGTTTAAAACTTGGTTATAACAAAAATATCTCATAGATAATATACCAAAGTAATTTGTCTTAATCATGGAATTTGAAATCAGCCTTTGAAAATATCAAAATAACCCATAAGTTCATCTAGTTTTAAAAAGTTTTTGAAAAAGAGAGGATTGCTTGCATTTTGTGGGCTCATTTTTTGGCTCTTGATACCTTTGATTGGCTCTTTGAGCATCTTTGATTTTTGATACACTTTTTTGTATACTCTTTTTATTTTCAATTTGGCCCCTTTGCCCACTTCCACACCCCCCCCATTTTTTATTTTTGTTAAGCTAAATTCTCATTTACAATATCTTAATGATTCTTAGTTATGAGTATATCTTCCAGATATTAGAGAATATGAGCTCTGTCTCTAACATAGGGAAGAACTAGTCACAAAACACAATGAAAATCACATGATATATGCAATGGCAAGATTTCAAATAACTTGAAAGATATATAAAAACTTTGAACATTATATATAGGATAGATTATTGTATTAAGACAAAAAAAGATCTTAATTTTAAAAACCATTTGTTAAAATGAGATAGACTTTTGTTTTAGAGAAGAAAATTATACCTACTAAAAGTGGTTAGAAGGAGGGAAAAAATATCAACGATGTTTCTCCTTTTAACCAATTTAGAGGTGCTAATCATTGGCATTAAATCTCCAAAATCTAAAAGACTTGAAAAAATCATCATATAGAAAACGAAAGAAAGAAAAAAAATAGTTAAAACAACAAAAAGCTATCACGAAAAACAAACAAAACAATCATTTAATTTACAAAGCAATTCAAGAAATTGTGAAGCAGCAAGTTTAAGCAATTATGAGCTACGAGCCTCCATTTTGTCCAAGTATCCTATGCTTCTCATGGGTCTTTGGTGAGAGCACTCATGCAAGAATCAACAACTGTCAGATTTAGGAACCCAAAAAGGTTTGGGTCCCTTCTTATGAATAGTAGAAAGTGATGCTTATGTGCTATGCTGTGAATCATGTAGTTTTGGTCTCCACACCCAGTGTGTACTATGGTGAATAGTGCAAGTGTGTGAGATGTGTCCTAGCATGCCACATGAAAAGCATCTAACGCCAGGAAAAAGATTTCTTAAATGCTTTGGGTTATTTTGCCACTTCCTAGGTCTTGTCTTTAGATCAAAAGAGGGTGTCATCCAATATCCCTTAAGTGAGTCCAATTCATTTTTAAGCCTCAAGTTTATACTTTTTAAGATATCATTTTCAATCCTTAAATTTTGCTTTATCTCTTCAGATTTCTTAAAATTAAATTCAAGTGAGGTGTGTGAAACTTTTAATGCGTCATGCTCATTAATTCATTCTGAATGTTTTTTGTTTAAATCATCAAATTAATCAAGTAGAGTCATGTGATTTGAAACAATCAAAGAATGATCTTTAAGAATAATTTCATTTTCTTTTTGTAAATTTAAAAGTTCTAACTTCAAACTAGCATGAGTTTTCTTAAGTTTTTTGAATGATGCATGAATTTTCTCACAAATTTTAAATAATTGATCATAAGTTCGTTTATATACCTCTTCTTCATCACTTTGATCAAGATGATCTTCCGTCATTAAGCACAAATTTGTTGTTTCATCTTCAGTTCAGTCTCCGATGAATCAGTTGCAAAATCTGCCCAAAACGCCTTTTGAAGTCTCTTTTTATCCTTCCTGACCTTGGGTTTTTTCTCATCCTTTTCTTTGCTTGTGTGATCTTGAAGTGTAGGACAATCCACTTTGACATGTCCAAGCTTCCTGCATTCAAAACAAATAACATCAGAAGATTCTTTAGGATATTTGTTATCCTTACCTTTTCTCCAATTTTGATGATGCTTGTGCTTCTTCCTTAGAAATTTTTTGAACTGCCTTGTGATTAAGGAAAAGTCATCACTCTCAGACCCTAAAGAATCAGAATTTGTGTTGTTGGCCTTCAATGCCACAATTTTCTTTTTTTTTTTCCTCACCTGTATCAAGATTTCTTTGATTCACCCCTTGCTCGTAAGCAATGAGTGAGCCAATTAAGTTATGAATCGAAAGGTGTTTAAATCCTTATATTCAGTTATAGAATTGATTTTAGCATCAAAAGAGGAAGACAAGCATCTTAAAATTTTGTTCACTTTTTCATAGTTTGAAAGTTCTCTTCCTAAGGCATGCAAAGAAGTTACAATTTGAGTAAACCGTGAATAAATATCAGAAATTATTTCAGAAGGTTTCATATGAAAAATTTCGTAGTCATACAAGAGAATATTTAAACGAGATTGTTTCACTTCATTGGTTCCTTCATAAGTAATGCACAACCTATCCCAAATATCTTTTCCAGAGAAAGGGAGGAAGAGAGAGATTACATGCGTGTTTCTACTTGTTCTACTGGAATGGGAAGTCTCACTCAAAAAGATTTGATCCTAAATCTGATGAAGGAGTGTTCTTGGGATATTCTAGTGTTGAGAAGTCTTTTAGGGTGTGTAACAAGAGAACTTTGATGGTGAAAGAAACTACCCATGTAGTATTTGATGAGTCTGATCCTAAAAAGTCTAAAGTTGAGGATGATGATGATGTTGGAGAGATTACCACTGGATTAGAAAATTTGGAGAAGGGGGTAGGCCACCAAATCGTTGAAGGAGTAGGAGATGTCACCCAAGGAGTAAAAAATGTAGATTTGGAGGAAAGGGTTGGACCTTCTCACACCTTGCCTAGAGATTGGAGATACTCTACAAGTCACCCCAAGGATTTGATCTTAGGAGACCCTTCTGATGGAGTTAGGACTAGACATGGACTTAGGAAGGAGGTGAACCACTCTGCCTTTATCTCAATGACTAAACCCACCAACATAAACCAAGCCCTTACTAATGAGTTTTAGATTTTAGCCATGCAAGATGAGTTGAATCAGTTTGTTAGGAATGATGTTTGGGAGCTTGTAGAAAGACCTAAGGGATAAAGTGTAGTTGGAACAAAGTGGGTCTTTAAGAACAAGGTGAATGATTCTGGAGTGGTGGTTAGGAATAAAGCAAAATTAGTGGCTAAGTGGTATAACCAAATAGAAGGGATAGAATTTGAGGAGACTTTTACCCCTGTAGCTAGAATGGAAGCCATTAAAGTGCTATTAGCCTTTGCCTGTTATAAATGATTTAAGATTTTTTCAAATGGATGTTAATAGTGCCTTTTTAAATGGGGAAATAAAAGAGGATGTGTTTGTAGAACAAACCACAGAATTTGAGAGTTCCCAATATCCAAATCATGTTTTTAAATTAAAAAACGCTTTGTATGGGTTAAAACAGGTACCAAGAGCTTGGTATGAGAGGCTTAGCACATTTTTACTAGGAAGGGAGTTTGTTAAGGGGAGAGTAGACACCACCCTTTTTCTTAGGAAAGCTGGAGATGATTTGCTCATTGTTCAGATTTATGTGGATGATATACTTTTTGGATCTTCTAATAAGAAACTTTTTGAGGAGTTCTCTAAAACAATGAGTAGAGAGTTTGAGATGAGTTTGATGGGAGAGTTGTCCTACTTTTTGGGGTTTAACATAAAATAATTGGATGATGGAACCTTTATAAATCAAACAAAATACATTAAGGATATTTTGAAGAAGTATGAGATGGATAAGGCTAAGCCAATTAATACTCCCATGACTTCTAGTGTTCCGTTGGATAAGGACCCAAGTTGTAAGTCTGTTGATCAGAAGAAGTACAGAGGCATGATTGGATCCATACTTTACCTGACGGCTAGCCGACCTGATATTATGTTTAGTGTTTTCCTTTGTGCTAGGTTTCAAGCTGACCCCAAAGAATCCCACATGATTACAGTTAAGAGAATTTTTAGATACCTTTTGGGGACCCAAAGCTTAGGGATTTGGTATCTAAGGCACAACACTTCTTTTGAGATTATTTGATTTTCTGACTCTGATTTTACAGTATGCAAGGTCAATTCATAGGACAATCTTTGGTCTCATGGTCTAGAAGAAAGCAAAACTCTGTTGCACTTTCCACTACTGATGCTGAGTACATTGATCTTTAAAGTTGTGTGGCCCAAGTCCTTTAGTTGAAACAACAGGTATTGGATTTAGGATTACCTGTAGGTACCATCTCAATCTTTTGTGACAACACTAGTGTCATATGCATCTCTACGAATCCTATCCAACATTCAAGGACTAAGCACATTGACATTAGGCATCACTTTATTAGAGATCATGTGACTAAGGGAGACATTGATTTACACCATGTGACAACCGAAAATCAATTGGCTGACATCTTTACTAAACCACTGGCCTTCGACACTTTCAGCACTTTAAGGACCAGATTTGGTGTGATTGACATAAATGCATGAACTTGATCTTTTACTTGCTTTCTTTTGCTTATGTTCTTTCTTATTTCTTTTATTTTCTTTTCTTTTTGCTCTTTGCTTTCTTTTCTTCTTTTGCTTTTAGTTTTTGTTTGGTTTATTTTACTTTATTTTGTTTATTTGATTTTCAAAATCATTGTTGAAATGATATCGTATGTCTTGTCCTTGCTTTTGAAAATTTGTAGTCAATGTGGTTTTCATCTCTTAATCTCCTAGATGGTAAAAATATTTTGTGATTGTGTCTCTTTCTCTAACCTATTTTAGTGACATCGTTTTCTTTTCTAATAAAAAATCATTTCAATTGTAAACAATTGTGTATGAAACTAGATCTTTTACTAATTTGCTAAAGCAATCTATCTTGTTATTATATGCATTAATATGTTTTTTTGCATCTCAAGATTTCCTTATTACCTTAAATCATTGATTATTAATTCTGTTTTTGTGGATAAGTTCTTTCTCTATGTTAGAGAGAGAGCTCCTATTCTCTAATATCTAGAAGATATACTCATAACTAAGATTCCTTTTAAGAGATTGTAAAAGAGAATAGAGCTTGCAAAAAAAAAAAGAAATTGGCATGATGCCACAAAAGAAGTGCGCATTGAACCAAATTGAAAATTTTATCAAAAAGAGACAAAAGTTTCGCAAAGCACCAATCAATTGACAAGAGGCATAAAATGAGCCCACCAAAAGGAAGCTCTATTCTCCTTTCAAATCCTTTAAAACATAGAAGATCTCATATATCAAAGGCTTGATTTTTAGTGTTTTGCGATTGTGACAAATTTACTTTGGTACATTATTCTCTAGGATATTTTTTCTGAAACCAAGTGATGAATGGATCTTTTTTTCTCAAATCCAATTGAATTTTTGAATTAGATCATTGATTTCCAAAGACGACTCTACCCTAAAAGAAAGTCTAAGCTAAGGGTAACCATGATCCGTTATTGTACTGTTTTATAGATTTTTCTGATGTTGATTCATTAGCTTACAAATTTTTTAAAATCAATCACATGGAACACTACATCATGTTCATGCCTTGTTTAAAAAAAATAATTGTTTACTTTGTTTCTAAGTTTCCTCCTCCTTTTTGAGATGTCAAAAGGGGGAGAGGAACCCTTTGTATGCTTGCACTTTCGATTCCATGTTTTACACTACTGTTTTTGAAATATTTGTCAAAGTATTTGCCATCATCAAAAAGGGGAGATTGTTACAAATTCAGTTTCATGGATTATGCTTTGATGATTAGCAAACACTCTTGCTTCTCTTCGACTGCCTGATACTTCTGACATTTCAGGAATCAAAGATCGAACAGAAATCATAACCAGCTCAAGATTGGGTAGATTAGGGTTGAGTCAGTCTGTAATTTTCTTTTTTCCCTTTCTTGAGTCAATTATAATCTTTGAAGTGACTGATGTTAAGTAAGCCTACACACATACACTTGAGTGACTTAGAATTTCTGTTTTTACTCACATCATCTCGGACGATATTAATATCATCCTGAACGATCGAGTTTAAAACAGAAACTCTAATCAGGATTTCCTAGTTAAGGCAGCCATAATTAGCTTATCATCCTGGACGATACATTTATCGGACAGGACGATATGCTCAAAATAAAAAGAAATAGTCGCCATGATTAATTTAAGTATTCTGTATTTTTGAAAATCGGCTAGGACGATTGTGAGATCGGCCTGGACGATATGGCAGAATTATACCTAAATTGATCCAGCAATTAAGAAAGAAATTAAGGATGATTGTGAGATCGGCCTGGACGATATGACGATCGTAGGATTGGCCAGAATGATATATTTAAAAACCCTTAGTTACTCCTGGCCGATCAGGATCGGACAGCACGAATTCAAGCGATGCTCTGGACAATTTTCTTCTAATTTGAACTAATCGTCCGGGATGATTGTGCGATCGGCTTGGACGATCAAGCCAATTTTCGATCGTCCAAATCACCTTCAGGGCAATATTTTGGCCAATCGTCTATGTTTTGAACTAATCGTACAGGATGATATTATTATCGTCCTGGACGATAAAGTAGGCAGGACGAATCTCCATTCACTAAAGACCATTTCACAATGGGTTTCAGAATTTTAAAACCTTATGTCAACAGTTTATAAGAGTATGAGCTGCTTACTCTACCACATCCCTTTTCCAGCCTAGCTCTACATATTGATGCTATTAACTTGTACAAAAGAGAATCTTTGTCCTAAATAAATCTCCATGCCAAACGTGCTCTTAAAGAAGTTGTCTTAGTGATATTTGAATGCAGCCCATGGCCACCTCTTTCAATTGGTTTGCACATTTCAGTCTAACTGACATATTGCAACCCTCTATTGCCATTTTTCTTATTCACGATGAAGTTTCTACTAGCTTTATCAAGATCTTCCAATACACATTTTGGAACAGTGAGACGCATGAAATGTAGGCAGAGCTAGCAAAACATATTTTACCATAGTCATCTTGCCTGCCAATGACAGTAATTTGCTTCCCCATTGATTCAGCTTCTTCAAGGTATTATCAATTATAAATTGAAAATCATCATATGTAAGTCTTCTCAAAACTATCTTCAATCCAAGATAATTGAGTTCTCTAACAGTTTTAAATCACATAATTCTTTTAATGTTATTTTTCTTCTTCCTTCCCATGTGATTTTCGAACAACATAGTAGATTTGTTCAGATTAATTCGTTGTACAGTCCAATCAAAAAAGCAGAGTAATATTTCCTTCACTCTTTTAACTTTCTTCATATTTGCTTCAGAGAACATGATAACATCATCAGCATAAAGTAAATGTGAAATTCTAGGTCCCTCTGGATAGAATTTGATGCCACAAGAGCTTTAATCAAATGCATTTGAGAGAAGTTGAGAGAAAAGAATAAAAAGGATTGGAGACAAGGGACATCCTTGCCTAAAATCGCTCTTAGCATGAATCCAATTGGAGTAATTGCCATTAATGATTAAAGAAAACTTATGGTCTTCAACACACTCCATAATGAGAATAGAAATTTTAATGGGAAAGTTGAAATACTCCAACACTTTCCTTAAAGAAGGCTAAGCCATGGAATCATATGCTTGTTCCATGTCTACATTAAAGGAGAATAGACCCTTAAGTCCTTAGAGATCCTTAGGTTATGAAATATTTCGTGTGCCACCAAAACATTGTCTGACAAGGATCTCCCCTTAATGAATGTTGTTTGCTCCATGGAGATTAAATTTGGAATGACCATAACTAATCTAATCAGTATAATTCTCGCCGCTACCTTATACACAAAATTGCTTAGACTTATAGGTCTATAATTAGAAGGAAGAATAGGATTATATACCTTTGGAATAAGCACTGTTAATGTCTCCTTCCATTCTTTAATAAATTCTCCATTGATAAAGAAGTGACTTATAGCCCTCCAAAAATCTATTTTGATGATCCCCCAATAAGGTTTGATGAAAGAGTTTGAAACTCCATCATTACCAGGAGAAGTATTGCCTCCCAATTGATCCTAAATTCCTTCTACCTCTTCAATAGTCAAATCTGCCTCCAGGATTTTCTGTTACTATATTTCACTACCGGCCAACCTTCCATCTTGCAGCTCCTAGCCTCCCATTTTCTCTACAAAAAATGTAGAAACACCTCTTCCATTTTGTCTTGTTCTTCCACTAACAACCCATTTTCATCCTTTATTTTGATGATTTTGTTGGTGTTTCTTCTAGCACTAGCATAGGAGTGAAAAAATTTAGAATTTTCATCACCTACCTTTAGCCACTTAACCTTGTCTCTTTGCTTCCACCAAGAATTCAATTTTGTCATGGTTGTATTCAACTCATTCACCTTAGATTTGAGACTCCAGTATTCAGTTTCCGAGAGAGCTCCAAGAGAAGATTCCTTAATTTGAAGTTGAATAATCTCATTCATAAGATTATCTTTAAGCTTATTTAAATCTTTTAGCTTAGATTTTCTCCAAAAAAACAATGGTTTCAAGGAATTTTTAAACTTCTTATTAAGCACTTGAGCGCAATTACCTTGATAGTTCATGTTCCATTCCTTCCTTACAACCACAAATGAAGCTTGATAAGATGCCCAACTATTTTCAAACTTGATCTTCCTTTCGATATAGCTTCAAAATTTTGAAATTGCAATGTAATTGGACAATGGTTCGAGGCAATCCTAGCCAAATTCTTCACTACCAAATGGTATGGGGAGCTTAATATAGAGGTGTTAATAAAACACCTATCCAATCTTTCAAGAATCCTTGCACCACCACTTTTGTTATTACACCATGTCTAATTAGGACCAATGAACCCTACTTCATGTAAATCATTGTTGAGGAAGCAAACCTTCATCTCCTTTGGACCTTGAGAGAATGTGAACCTTCTACCTCCAATTTTATCTTCTTTTCCCAATATACAGTTGAAGTCACCTCCTATTTCCATAGGCAATTCTTTAATGGAATACATGTCTATCATGTTCCATAGATCTCTCCTCTTATGCACTTCCCTACTTCCATAAACCGTGGCCACCCTCCACATTTCTTTGTTGGAAATTTTAAGGTCTCCAATCACAATTTGGGCAGAAAAAGCACCCACCGAGAACTTAACTTGATTTGATTTCCAAAGTAATAAAATTCCACTAGATAACCCAGATGAAGGAACCAAGAAAACGTCCCAATCTTTTTCTACCATATTATTGATTTCATTTCTATCAATTTCAGATATTTTGGTTTCTACAAAACCCAAAAAAATACTCCATTATTTTTAACAAATTCCTTAATATAGATGGAAGCACTCCTCTTCCTTGCTCCTCTACAATTCCAAAAAGCTATGGAATACATTAAAAGAGATTTTGGGGATTAACCCCCAAACTAGTTTTCCCTTCTAGCTCCAGTCTTCAGCTTCTAGTTGAAGAGTTGATTGGTCCCAATTCCATTAAATGCTTAGGAATTTTTTTCTTAGATGATATAACAGAGTTAGCTTTCTCTTCACTTCCAGATTTCATATTTTCACAGATATCTGCCTTCGATTCTTTTTTACCAATCCCACCTACAAGATTACTTATTTCTTTGTTGCCATCACAAATGAGGATCTCTTCTTCAGTTATGACTACTTTTGTAGAAGGAACTAATTCACCTTCCTCCAGATCTACTAATGCACTGAAGCAATTATCATCAACCACAGGCACCATAATTTCCTGAGCTTTGAAGCTATTTTTTCCAAGGCTAACTATTGTCCTTCCATCAATCCTTTGTTCCACCACATTATACCCATCATTTGGCTTATCTTCCCTTGTTCTAGAATTTTTGTTAACATTCTTCTTCAACGGCACCAAATTACTTTTACTTGCCACCTGAGAACTTGGTGTTCTGGCCAAGTTGTTATATGATTTTTTCTTCCCATATTTTACCAACATCTATGGTTCATATTCCTCTTTTTCAATCAATCTAGGTACACCCAGATTTTGATTATCTGCAGCCATTTCCATTCCCTCCAATTTACTAGCATTTGAAATAACAGGTTTTATAGAATTAAACCTGTTCTCCATTTTAGGTGAAGAACACTCTTTCTTTCCATGACCAATCTTCCTACATTCAAAACATAGATTTGGCAGCTTCTCATATTCAATTATGTGGAAGATTTATCTTCTACTCCTTCTACCCAAACTCCAGTCGGTAGCTTAGCATCCATATCTATTCAAATGCAGACCCTCCGAAATTTTCTTCTAGACCACTGAAGCATGTTTCCATCAATCAAGTAAGGCTAGCCCACCTTGGATGATATACGGTAGATGTTTATTTCATCCCAACAAAGGAACAGAAGATTGGGTAATCTGATCCATATAGGAGAGGAAAGTCCTTTAAGAGAATCCAGATCAAACCTTTAAGTCCATCTTTCAATCCCCATAATATTCCCATTAACAAACCAGGGACCATTGGTTAGCACTGCCCCCATATGTTCTGGTTCATGGAATGAGCATAGAATCGATCCCTTTCCAATCACCGTTAGATGGACATTTCCATATTGACCCCATTGTCTCCTCAATTCAAAGCTTATTGAGGAAAAAGGGATATCACCACTAAAAATTTTCACCACCAAATACTTTTCAAGCTTCTTGGAGTTCTCCATAACTTTTTCTACATTAAGCAAGATAGATTTTCCATCTCCAGCTGTGTAGTTACCGAAATTCAAATCAACTACCCTGATATTTTCATTTTTAAGGCAGACATTATGATGATTACCTGGGTTACTTCATTTAGGCATTTCATCATTAACCTCATCACATCTTCCCAATTCACCTATTTCGCATATCCACACCTCCTCTAGATCAGCTTTCGAATTGTCTTCAATTGCCAGGATCTTTTTCTTACTAGAACTTTCAGCTTCATTTGATCCAACCGCCATTTTTAAAAAAGAATCACCTTTCTCACCTCTATCAGATACCATATCCACTGCATATGATTAATTGTTTGTACCAGACTTTAAATTTGAAGATGGAGATAATATTTTTTCTCCCTTGACCAAATTGGTCTTTCCAACCTTATCACAATTCTCCATATTATCATCCAACAGGATTCCCTTTCCCTTACCGACAATTTTAGGGATTTGTTTCTTTAATTTCAGTCCTCCATCATTGATTATTAAAGGCTTGTTCATCTTGGCATTAACCTTCACTCCAAGGAAGAAATTAAAGCTATCATCTCCAAAAGCCGAAGGTGAAGACGTCACATTCCGGGCTCCTCCATTCATTGGACGTCCAAAAGATCATTTCTCCTCCAACCGTTCACCGCCATCAACACCGATGATGAAGCCATGAAATCAGATTTTTAAAAAATAAAATTTTGAAATATCAAACTTTCAAAATTTTAGATGATCATCCTGGACGATCCTTGTGTTTTTAGCTCAAGATCTGATTATCTTCTGCTTCAATTATTTGTGATCGTCCTGGACGATCCTCTTGGTCCTGCATAATCTTTATAATTTAAGCTCAATCAATAGTGATCATCATGGATGATCCACATGTTTATCCTGAACAATCCATGTGGCAAAATTTGGTACACGTATTAATTTCTACCGATATGATCCATTATTTCCTATAGTCCCAGACAATCCATCTAATCATCTTGGATAATGTACTTTTTAAACGGTTGTTCGGCTTGACTCCTTGGGACAATCGCCTGTGTTTTATCATGCCAGACAATGTCTGATCATCCGTGACAATATTACTACCTTTTTAACCAATCGTCTTGAATGCAATTATTTCACCTGATCGTCCTGGAAGATTATGCAATCATTCTAGATGATCAGTTTGTCTCTTCTTAAATCGAGGATGGGAAATGTGTTTTCTCACCCAAGTCTTGTACTTTCATCCTTGCACTCCCTATTTCTCTATTTTCTTATACTCATGGCTAGAGGAAAGAGATCTAAAATGCCTTCTGGAAGCTCCTCAAGGGCCAATCTTGACCCTCATTTCACTGAGGTGGCCGATCAAGCCACCTATCTGAGGTATAAGACTTCAGGGAGAACTTTATCCTAGACTGTCAACCCTCCCATACTTTCTTATCATATTATAGACTTCTTTGTGTACACTTCTCTTAGCTTTATCCTTATACCTACCATCCCATTAAATTATGAATTGCTATTTGAATTCTTTGCTAGCCTCCGCATCAATTCTTCCTTCACTTCTCTTCAGTCTTATGTGAATAGGCGTCATGTCAAAATCACATATCAAGATTATTACGAGCTCCTATGGTTGTCCACTACTGGAGACAAGCTGCACATCCTATCTTAAGACCCCAATTTCGAATGGGCTCCGGCTAATCACTTTATAAGGAACACGAATGTTTCCTATCATGTTGGAGAGTTTAGCAGATTACTCAAAGATGCTAAGACAATCCAACATATCCTTCGTACCTCAGTCCTTCTGAAAGCTGGTGATCATATGTACATCTCTCCACTTCTTTCGATCACTACTTTTTATATCCTGGCCCACCATGAATTTAATGCTACTGATATGATTTTTTGATGCATTGAGCACCTAACAAGCATTAGAGATCTAGGACATAAAAGGAAGCCCAATCTTAGCTTAGGACACATGTTAATAAATATCATGGAATCCAAATACAACCTTCAATATCCTGCCCCACCAAACTTTAAGCCTACCTTTTACTCCAACAACTCCTTCCATATTCTTCACAGTACTCATCTCCACCCGGAGCATGAGGAAACTGAGGGAGCTGAGGAGGAGGCGGCTTCTGCACCTGTTCCTGTACCTGCACCGCATTGCCAGCATTCATAGCAGGATCAACTGGTGGAGAATTTTAACCAGTAGGAGGCACACTTTGAATCCTATGTTGTTGCACTGGAGCAGCAACATGCGGAGGATGTTGCTCACTTTGACTCTTTTGTAGCTCACCACCAGCACCAGTATGACTAGGATATGGCCTGGTTTTGGGAGCAGTTTGTGACTCTTTCTAGTTTCTTTCCGCCACCACCACCACCTACTTTAGATGATTAAGGGCCATCCTTCTTTTAGTTTGTTTTTGTGATGTTCTTTTTTCTTATTGTATTTTATTTTTACCTTTGTTTGGTAGTTTCTATTTTGTTTCATTTCTCTTTCCCTCCTCCTATTTGTGATGTCAAAAGGGGGAGTAGTTGTACTATTTTATGTTGCTTAGTTGTACTATGTACTATGTTCTATTTTAGTAAAATTTGAACTTCTTAGTTTACACTTTTTTCTTATGTTGTTTAAAATTAAATTTTCTTAATTATTTGATTGTTTGTCATCATCAAAAAGGGATAAACTGTTACAAATTTGATTTAAAAAAATAAAATTTTGATGATAGCAAACATTTCTATTTTTCTCCAACTACCTTGCCTACAAACATTTCAGGTCCAGAAGATCGAATTACAAATCAAACCAGCTCAAGATTAGGTAGATTATGACTGAGTCACTTTGTAATATGTGTCAAGTATCTTTTATCCTTTCTTGAGTCAATTATAAAAGTTATGGATCCTAATGCTAAGTAACCTTGCACAAAAAGACTTGGGAGAAAAATTCTATCTATTGGTTAGAGTTTTCTATTTTGATCACATCATCCAGGATGATCCAAAAATCATCTTGGATGCTTAGTTAAAAATAGAATCCTTAAATAGGTCATCCTAGTTTAGGCAACCATAATTAAGAGAATCATCCTAGATGATATTTGCCTCATCCGAAATGATGGCTCAAATTAGAAAGAATCGTTTGCCATATCTATTTAGGCATCTTTATTTTTGGACATCGTCCAAAACATCGTCTTGATAATGTTGCACAATTATGCCTAAATTAATCAAGAAAGCAATTAAGGTTTGATTACTCGATCATATCATCCTATATGATTACAAGATCTAATGGGATGATCATTTAACAAACTTTAGTTCTTCCTGGACGACCAAAAATCTGTCTAGTTCCATTTAGAGCGATGCTCTGGATGATATGTACTAAATTGAACTAATCATACAGGACAACCAGGAGATTGGACTGGATGATCAAGTTATTTTTTTATCACCCATACATCTTCTAAGGGCATTATACTGGATGATATTTTTCATTTTGTACTGATCGACCTAGATGATCGTTATATCATCCTGAACGATCTAATTATTTTTCCATCGTCCAAACATCCATCTAGGGCATGGTCTAGATGATATTGGATAACTTGAACTAATTGTAAAGGATGATATATAATTGTACTAGATGATCTGAACAAAGTAGCCTTCTAATCGTCCAGACTCTTCCAAATCGTCTAAGCTGATTGAGCTAAATTTGAACTGATTGTACAGGACTATCAGTCAATTGTGCTAGATGATATTTAATGATTAGTTACTAATTAGGGATATTTTGGAGCCCATTTTTAAAAGATCTCATATTTTCTCAAGAGGAATTCTTTCGCTGTTATCCTGATCTAAGGGAGCCATAAGGAGTGGGAGAGCAAGAGAGAGAGATAGAGAGAGAATCTTGTGAGGGGGAGTTTATGAGGTGTTTCACAAAGATTGCTCCAAGCAAGGATCAGAGTCATCTTCTCCGGTCATCGTCCCTGGTTCCTTTGAGGTTCTAGAGAGATCTACTTCAACAAATGATCAAGGTTCCCTGCTTGCTTCTGGAGGAAGCAAAAGGAGTTGGGTTCTCTGCCTACTTTTGGAGGAAGAAAAAGAAGTTGGGTTCTCTATCTACTTCCTAAGGAAGCAAAAGGAGTTGGGTTTTCTGCCTCATCGAGGTTGGTGGAATGGTGTTTTTGTACTCGCTTTTTCACCTTGCTGTGGGGGCAAAAGGAGAGACACTGAGTTTAGTTCAATACTCAGAGGATGCCTCTGGGGAGTGGATGTAGGTCAAGTTCACCGAACAATTATAAAATCTGATGTGTTTTTTCTTATTATTACTTTTACATTTAATTTTTGCACTTTGTTTCTTTTGTGGTGAATCTTGATTTAGTTGTATTTGTGTTTCTATTTGGAGAAAATTTTTAAATACTAATTCACCCCGCCTCTTTGTTAGCCTCAGGATTAGTTCATAAGGGCTTAACATCCCTGATGAACTTTCAAAATGGAATTTAGTTTAGGAGAAGAAAACCAAGAACTAGCTAGCACATCTTTAAAACATTATATTTTCCCCTCAAAAAGAGAAGAAGATGATGAGTTTGATGATGACATATCATCATCTCCTAGCAACCAAAAAGCAATGGGAAACCTCAAAACAAGTGAAGGAATTAAAGTAAAATAAATAAAGTACTAGAAATCAATCGAGAAATGCAAAGAAAATAAGCCAAGAGGGAAAAGATCAAGAACGCGAGAAGGAACCCTAAATCTCCCAAAAATTGCCTCGAATGTCAGAGCGCCGAGAGACATTGCAATGTCAGGTGATAAGGCTAATGAATTTATATATAAGACACTGCCCAGAGATTTCAACCTCATTTTGCAAGAACTTTATGATCTGAATTCTAGTTCTGTATAATCTCAATCCCCTATATTTAATTACCCCTCCTAAAATTCAGAGAGAACTTTTAATTTAGGCTAGTCATCAATCAGATATATAGAGGTACATGATATCTAACATATAGTAACAGCATGGGTTGGTAGGAAAATTGCATATTTAAAATTTTAAATTTCACCATCTTGAACTTAAAGTGGGTGGTAGGGGAATGGATGACAAACCCATCAAGATCCTATGGTTTTGTCATCCCAGGTCATTATGGTCCCTAGTCTATATAGTCAGAGGAGGTAATCAACCCAACCTGATAGAAGGATCCTTGTCGGCAGCCATGGGTTACATCTTCTAAGGTAACCTTGTTGAACTAGGATGAATTTTTATCCAAGGGAACAAATTTGAATCCACCTTAGCTAATAAAGGGCTTTGTGCCATATTGATTATATCCTTTGGATTTATATCTCAAGGATTTGATGCCACTAAGAGACATATTGGCTCCGGCCATAACCATAATTTAGTGGTTCTATTTTTTGGTAAAACCACTTGGTTTAGAGGGCCCTAGGTCATAACCATTTACTTATGGTGTATTTTGGTAGAGAAACTACAAATTAGAGGACATGCACCACGTCTTTACTTGTAGGAGACTATTTTGAGAATGAATCCTAGTGATATTCTTGACGTGACATAAGCTCTTTATGAGCTGAAAGTGTTTGGATGATTGAATTTCAATTTTAAATATTTTTTATTTTGGTACTTTTAGATTTTAGATTTAATACAATTTGAAAATGTTGGAATTAATCCCTCTGATTGATATTTTCATTCAACAAGGCCATCATCGGGGTGTACGGGCATTTTCATTGACTAATCCTTGCTGACCCTATCAACTTTCCAATAGGGGATCAAGTTCATCGGTTATATGATATTATTAATAAATTTATCTATTCATTAGACATGAAGGCCTTATATGAATTTATAAAATAAATATTCTGGTTGACACCTTGATCATATATTTATTTGGTAATTTGAGCCATACTGAGTTCTATCTATATATAGAAGTATCAGATACCAACTATATTTATTGACCCGTACAACATCACTAAATGTCACGTGTATATGTATAACACGCTCATTGGGGCCCATATAAGTTTTGTGATTTCATATGCACTTTTATGTACCTATGTTAACACATATTGTAGTGTTTGTGCGATGGCATTTTTGAAAATATTTGATGTCGTTCTATTATGTGACAATTGCCATTTGAATGTAGTATTCTCTTTGGAAGTGCATAGACACCTTCTAACTTCTTGTATGAGTGTTACAAATCCATTGGAGTGTCATAGTACTTTGTGGATTAAGTTGTTTATTGCTTTTTACAAGTAAAATATCATGAAATAGTTATTGATTTATGTAGGTGGATCATAGTGCACTAATGAATCTCCTACTATTTGTTGCAACCCATGACCCCGAGTTTGAGATTTTAATGATGCCAAATAATGAGTGTTTTGGAACAACTTTTCATTGAATATTACTTTATTTGCTATTGTCCTTGAGTACTAACATTTCAGGAAGATCACAAGTGACTCAGGACGAAAGGAAGACTCAAGACCGGGTAGATTAGGAGTATGAATCAGATATTATATTTTTCTATTTATTTTATTTTTACTTTATTGAGTCTGGCCACAAAATGCATAAGAGTAAGAGCAACCATGCACACACACAGGGGGAAGTTTGTTTTTAAT